GGTGTCTTTGCCTTGTTGTAACTACAGCATGTGTTTTGTTAGTTAGGAAGTGGTGACCCGAGCTTTTGTTTCATGATGTCTTTGCCTTGTTGTAACCACAGCATGTGTTTTGTTAGTTAGGAAGTGGTGACCTGAGCTTCTGTTTCATGGTGTCTTTGTCTTGCAGTAACTACAGCATGTGTTTTGTTAGTTAGGAAGTGGTGACCCGAGCTTTTGTTTCATGGTGTCTTTGCCTTGCAGTAACTACAGCATGTGTTTTGTTAGTTAGGAAGTGGTGACCCGAGTGTCTGTCTTGCTGTAACTTCAGCATGTGTTTTGTTAGTTAGGAAGTGGTGACCCGAGTGTCTGTCTTGCTGTAACTTCAGCATATGTTTTGAGCCATATCATTTTTATTCTGTAGGTTAAATGATAAGGGTTTAGGAACCCTGATCAGCACAATATTATACATAATTATTCTCATTCTATTGTTAAGACTATATATTCAGATTAAAATAATACTACTGGTTATTATTCTGTGTATTTTCTGCTACCTGTGAGATTTACCTCTTTTAGGCAAGTAACACTACTTTTGACTGTTTCATTTTTTATTTATAACTTACTGTATGGCCAGAGTTCATACCAACACTGGAATGTTATTAGTTCATATGCTTTGCCTCTTTTATTGTGTGTGTGTGATCTTTTAGAAGTGTTGTGCAAACTTTCTAGAAAAATATTCAGTTTGTTTTTTTCTAAGATACATGAAACAAATTGTAATATTGTTCAATGAAAAAAACCGTAATGCTGAGATATCTACCTCTTGTTTTTCACTTTTAAGTTATTCTATTATTTGTCCAGTTTCTTTTTTGATTAAAATTATAGTAATGGTCTAATGTTATTGACCTGTTATGAAGTAGGTTTTCAGGCAGGGCCAGTAGGGGATGATTTATTGCTATTAAATCTTATTTAGATATAAAATGATGAGAATGTGCCATGTTAGGTTTGGACAGATTTCTTTAACCATAAAATAACTTTACTGATATAACACTAATAATAAACCACTTTTTTGCTGAAGTCTGTTTAACAGGTATAAAATTTATTGTATATATATAATATTTATGCGGTTCCCTGTGCATAAATGAATTGAATGTTCTTAGATTTTTTGAGTAGATTGTTTTATTTATTTCTGATTCTGAATATTTGAAGGTTTTTTTTAAAGTTTTTGAAATGTTATACTTACTATAATCCTTGTTTTAAATATTACCAATAATTTATAGAAGAAAAAAAAGGGGGGAGTCCAGCCTTTTCTCCTTAATCGAAAAGATCTGAATGATATTCAGAGTGAGTTAGCTGGTACATTTGAACTGAGTATCCTGTAAAGGTGTGATCATACAAAATTAGTGTTACTACTGGTATGTTACTTTGATTTGGTTTAACGAAGAATGGCGTGTTTACTCTAGTCGGAGATGTTTATCAACATTTATAGGTTCAGTTGGTTGGAGATATATTTGAACAAGTATCACTAGCTTTGTTTCTGTTGAGTTATTTGCTGTTGTGAATTTTTTTTTTGTTGAACATTTATTATCTTGTCCTAAGAATATTTCTTCAATTAAAGACCGTTAACTATTATAATTAGTGTCAACTTTTAAACCATGTTTTCTACGTTTGTTTATAATCTTTTCACAAGAGATTCGGTTATAATCCAAAAAAAAAAAAAAAGACATGTCATTGCAATTCTCGTCCACTGAAGAAGGCTGTGGGATTTTCTGTAATCTATACACGTGGACGTGTGTTTACATCCAGTTGGGATCCATCCGTCACTTGAGTATCTTATGAGCTTTCATCTCGCATCTTTGTGTAAATGAACATCATCATTGGGTAGCATTGTTTACAGGAGTTGCGTAAGAAACTTTTTTTTTTCCAACATAAGTAATCTCTACAAAGAAAACAAATTTGGTGCTCAGTTAGTCATAGACGAATAGTTGGAAGTGCACAGATCATTGTTGACCAAACAATGCTTACAAAGAAAACAAATTTGGTGCTCAGTTAGTCATAGACGAATATTTGGAAGTGCACAGATCATTGTTGACCAAACAATGCTTACAAAGAAAACAAATTTGGTGCTCAGTTAGTCATAGACGAATATTTGGAAGTGCAC